TATATATATATATATATATATATAGAGAGAGAGAGAGAGAGAGAGAGAGAGAGAGAGAGAGAATGCACACGATTGCACTATTTGTTCTCTACTTTTTGTCAATTGCTACCTCGTGGTGGCAAATGGGACAATTTTGAGCACCATGTCACTCGAATTAAGAATTCATCTTCGTAACACAAAATCCGTAAAGAACTCTAATTTAAGTGACTAAAACCCTGTTTGAATAAGCTTTTTTGAGATTATAAGCTGGCTGGTCATATTAAATGTGTCGTTAAAAAGTGGATAAAAGTTGTGTGCACGGTGAAATGTGTTGTTAAAAATGAAGTTCGACCATTTTATAATCTCAAAAAAGCTTGGTAAAAAAGTGGCTAATTTAGCAACTTTTTGACCGAAAGGACACAAGTAGCCAATTTTTTATGATGACCTAGTTTATGTCAAATGTATTTTTAAGGTCTGTTATGAACTTTAAATTGTAGGGAAAACAAAATATATGATGAGAAATTCACTTTATATCTTAGGGCCCGTTTGATTAGATGAATTTTCAATGGAAGGCTAAATTTTCTTGGCAATTGGTTTTCCTCGTTCACCCCCACGTGGTCAGGTTTTCCACCTTTTTGAGGAATTGCGATTCCCATGGGTTTGGTGGGACAAATGGGTTTTCCAGATTTTTTTTTTGTTTATTTTATTTTTTGGTAATGGAAATGAATTTTATCCACAATTGTAACAAATTATATTCCTTTAATTGACAATTTTCATGGAAAATAAAGCCAAACAAATACCAAAATTCCAAAATTTCAACATTTTTCAAGTGAAAAATACCAATCAAACACATTTAATTAATAATTTCAAGTAAAACAAGTTTTAGGCAATTCAATTCCTGGAATTCTTTTTTTTTTTCCACCCAAATTCTATTCTTGCAGTCAAACGATTCTTATTCTTTTTCCTTCTGGTTCATTTGTATTTTAACTCGTACTTACACTCAATTAATGATAACTATGTTAGCGACTGTATATTGAATGTTTTCATCTATCTTTGGTTCGATAATTTTGTATGAATATTTAAGAAGCCAGGCAATTGAATACTTGAATTCATGCTTCTTTTCCAATTGAAATCAGGGTCCAGGCCTTAATATTGTCACCTACAAGGGAGCTGGCTGCTCAAACAGAGAAAGTAATATTGGCCATTGGTGACTATATAAACATTCAGGCTCATGCATGCATTGGGGGCAAAAGTGTGGGTGAGGATATTAGAAAACTGGAGCATGGAGTTCATGTGGTGTCGGGGACCCCAGGCAGAGTTTGTGACATGATCAAGAGGAGAACTCTGAGAACTAGATCCATCAAATTATTAATTCTCGTGAGTTGATTTTATGAACTTATTTTTATTGTGAGGCATATTGGCTCAATATTTTAGGCCCCTTGTTAGATCACATAAGTAATTCTGGACTCATTTAAGTGTGTTTGATTTGATTTGATTTTTATTTTTATTTTTATTTTTTGTTTTGGAATTTTGTCAGGATGAATCTGATGAAATGTTGAGCCGTGGATTCAAGGATCAGATTTATGATGTTTACAGATATCTTCCACCAGAGCTTCAGGTGATTCCCGTCTTCGTGTATATTTGTGTCCCTCACATGTTAGGTCAGCTTATATAACTACAAGATGATGTTATGATCTTCTTTTTTTCCCCCCTCCCTTCTGTGTATTTTTTTCCCCTTCTGTGTATTTTGTGCCTCTCGATTGAATGGAGAATTGAAGTTCATGTTTTCCATTTCGTTATGTCACACCAAATTAAAAGAATATCGTGCTTAAACTTCCAAAACTTAGAATCTGAGGGACATCCTAATGAATAAATAAAAAACTTATGCATGTGTGCTGCAAGTCCTTGCTTTTGACTTTCTTATTTTTATATAGATTATAGATCTTATAATTATTACTTTCGTATAAATAGAGCTTAAGATGGTAGTAAAGATTAATTTTCTTATCTTTGATTGCTCCTAACAAAGTTTTAAATAAGGCAAATTATCAGTGCAAATCTTTACATGTGCATCATTTTATCATATTACATGAGTATATTTTACTTTAATGGAAAATCCTCATAAATAGATTAAAACTTTAAAAAGCTATGGATCTAGCTTAAAGATCTGGAAGAAGTTTTTTAAGATTATTTTAGCTAAGAAACTTGATAAAAGGATTAAAATTGAGTTTGATAGAACATAGTTTTACTGGTTCTGAATTGATTGGTTCATGATATCCATGTTTATAAATGCACAATTGGATGCTGAGGCATTTTAGCTTTGTAAGGGACAAGCCAATAAAATAATTCAAAAGAAAAAAAAGACATAAAATGCTTCAGGCAATAAAACAAATAGCCCAAAAGCTGAGGCCAGGTTAAAAAATCCAGAAAATATGTGAAAAACGAGTGCACGCTACAGTTCCCTGAAGCTTAGCCTTGATTGAATGGAAGAAGCATTTTGATTCAAATTCAAATCAATTTGCCCAAGTATTTTGAATCAGTAATGGCTTGATAATGTGATTTACTGTATCATTTCTAGCGGGCCTTCATTTGTGGTGGGTTTTTGCAAATTGGACCTGTGTTGTGCTGTTTTCCGCTGCAGACTATTTATGGTGTATATTATGATTCAGGTTGTCTTGATTTCTGCCACTCTTCCTAATGAGATCCTAGAGATTACGAGCAAATTCATGACAGATCCTGTCCGTATCCTCGTAAAACGTGATGAATTGACACTGGAGGTGAACTTTTTTGATAATTAAATATCTTTCTCGATCATTTCAATTTTTTCAGGGTGTGTGTGTTTTTTTTTTTTTTTTTTTTTTGGGTGTTTTGGGGTGGCGGGGGTGGGGGTGGGCGTTGCTGTATGCAAAATGTAGAAGTTTCAGCCAATTGAAATATTAACAGACAAATAACACTTTCTAACAAAACATCAGAAGCAAGGGATGCTATTCCTTTTTTCCCCCCCCTTTTCAAATTGAAAGAAAGTTTGCTGATTATCTTTTATATTGTTACAGGGCATTAAGCAATTTTTTGTGGCAGTAGAAAGAGAAGAATGGAAGTTTGATACTCTATGCGATCTATATGATACTCTTACAATCACTCAGGCTGTAATCTTTTGCAACACAAAGCGTAAGGTGGAAAACTTATTTTTGTTTCCTTTTTCAGTGTTCCATTTTCTTAGCAGCTCATTTTTACACCTTCATCAGTAATTCGTGATATCCTCTCCTTTTCTCTTTCCCTAACTTCCCCCTGGGCTGGTGTTCTTTAATTTGATTTTATTATATAACCTTTGTTTGATCCCTATTATTTTCAAAATGCATTTTTCTTTCTTCTTTTCAACCATAGATTCTTCAATAAAATAATATTGCACTCAAACCCAAAACTTTTCCTTGTTTAACTCCATATTTTCCATCAATCTACCATTCCAAAATGTGTTCTTAGCCAAAATGGAGCTCAAGCAGGCGCATACACTCCAGAATTGAACAGCTTAATACCTTTTTGCATGATTATGCAAGTAAATGAGGAATATCCTGCTTCTCTTTTTGTATCAGAAGTACTAATCTTTAGTACTAAATATATTGCTAATTGCCATTCAGAATTCTTAAGATATGTGAGTGACTTTATGATCTTCCCATGTTACATGGAGTTGGGCACAGGTCCTAAGGCTTTTAGCTTTACTGGGCTTCAAATTTGAGGATGAGGGACACTGCCATATCGTTTATGTGAGATATTTGATATGGTTTTGTACAAATTTAATAGTTTTAAAGGATGGGTACAATGAAAAGATATATCTTTTACTTGGATTGTTGTGAATTAAAGCAAAAGATTTTGGTTACTTCAAATATAAATTTGGGGTCAAAATATCACATATGAATCACTAAAAGTTCAGACGGTCACATCTTTACAATTTTTTCAAATAGATCTGAATCTGACCATATGAAGCCTGACTCCTTGGTTTGGGTCAGTTACATTTTTCCAATATCTGCCCAACAAATTTACCCTCATATTAGTATTTACCTATGTGCATAGTCTCTGAATTGCATGTATAGGATGGTTGCACGTATTAGAGATCGATATATGGTGTGCTTGTAGTTTTACTTGATTAGACTGCAAACAAGCTTTCGCGTCTCAATTCTCATGTCAAGACATATTATTAGAAATACCGTTGATCAACTGCAACTATAGGAAATACTGGCTCTTCTAAGGAACCTAAAAAAAAAAAAAAAAAAAAAATTATATACATATATATATAAATGAGAATAAAACAGAATTTTGTATTGATATGCAATAATGAAAATGTCATAGATGCTGGTATGAGGGTAATTCAGTAATTATTGTCTTTCCTTGCATTTTTATGTTGTAGCTCTTTCCGTGTGACAGGTGGATTGGCTAACAGCAAAAATGCGCGAGAATAACTTTACTGTCTCATCCATGCATGGGGACATGCCACAGAAAGAGCGGGATGCAATTATGGCAGAATTTAGGTCTGGTCAGACTCGGGTTCTTATCACCACAGATCCAAAAACAAAAAAAAAAAAAAAAAAAAAAAAGAATCTTCTAAAATGAGACTAAATATTTATAAGTAATTAGTTATTTTTCTTCATAAATTCGAAACCTATGCATTAAAATATTCTGAAACTAAAAAATAAGCTCGTAAAAAGAATGCAAATACCTACTGCCTTATTTATCTTATTGATAATTTGTACAATTTCAATGTTAAGTCATTAAGGTGAAAAAGAGAGGTAGTGGGTAGGAACAGAAGTTCTCACATTGACAGGGGTAAAGACCTGTAGTTTGCATTCTGCATTGCACTATTCACTTTGATTATAGGGAAGAACTATTGCATTACGTTGAGATCATGCGTGGACATTTCGATTGAATCCTCTTTTTCTTTCTCAGTTTTACATGCAAAGGCGCATGCAAGATGTGCAATATAATACAATATAATATAGATGAAATGGTTTTATGATGGAATGTAATCTCATTTTTTCTGTCTTCATATTTCATTCTTGTAGGTTTCCCTGGTGATCAATTATGACCTTCCTAACAATAGGGAGCTTTACATTCATCGTATTGGACGATCTGGCCGTTTCGGGAGAAAGGTACTTGCACAATCCTTTAAGATTTCCACTTGATTCTCTAATGTTCAGTTACGTAGCATTATATTCAGATGTTTCCTCATTGTTTTTCAGTTTAATTCTTGGCACAAAAGTTTAAGAGAACAGTCGCCGCCCTCTATCTAAACTGTGTGAAATTTAATGCGGGTGAATTTGTGAACGTTATTATTCTTAATTTCTCTTAAATAATTTTGATTCTTGAATATGCAATATTTTGAATCTTAATGCCATCATTTTTATTTTTGGGCAGTGAAATTATTCACGAAACATCTAAAAATTAACTCTAGTCAATTATTGTTTTGTTTGCATCCGAGTATGAGTTTTAACATTGGTCTAGATAGTACTTTCAACATGTAGATATCTGGATATTAACTGCTGTAGTTCCAACACATCATCATTAACTGAAACTTGTTAAATGATTTACTTTTATCATATTTTGTTTTAATCTAACCTGTAACATCTGCTTTCTTTTTGTGTTATATCTTCGAGATTGTCCTTATATGATATTTATTTGTAATTACTTAATTTTATGATGACGTGCAGGGCGTTGCAATCAACTTTGTTAAAAGTGATGATATCAAAATCTTACGAGATATAGAGCAGTACTACAGTACCCAGATAGATGAAATGCCTATGAATGTGGCCGATCTAATTTGAGCTTGGACTTCCATGGCAATAGAAGAGACGAAGTTTTAATTTGACATGCAAAATGTGCATGCTACCTGTGAATTTCATGTTGCTTATCTATCGGTACTGGTTAATTATTGTCCTTGGACCTTATCGATGAAAAGGAACAATTGGGTTTGATATCTCATGTTTAGCTTTCAGTGGTTTTGAATGGATAACGTTTATGTATTATACGTCAAATCATTATTAGTTAGTCCATGCAATGTTCTCGACTTGATTTGTAGCGTGCCTGTTGAATTTGCTGGCTTGGATTGATGAGTTTTTCCAGCAGTAAGCATCATGACATATTTGTGTTTCACCTCTTCCATTTGGGATACAACTTTCCATTTATACCGAGATTGGTAAAGAGGCCCTCTTCAGTTATGGAAGAGAGGATCAGGGTAGGCTATAACCACATCCTTGCATTTCGAAACACTTTAAATATGCATTTTCCTCAGCTTCGATAACATGTTTCATGGTTTAGCTCTAAAAGATTGAAATTGTACGAGCAATAAGTGCGAAAGATTTAACAGAAAATTATTGATAGTGCAATTATTTTTGGAGAAACTTGTTTAAAGATTCGCAGTGTCAAAAGCAACAAGAAGCTAAAGTTGTGCAAAACTTATTCTCAATTCCCAGATACTATTTTCCTAATAATCAGGTTGGTGACTTTTTACAGCAGCATTGTCCTGTTTGTACATTACAACCACAGCTTTTCCCAAGCGAGAAGAAAGCACAAAATCCTATACAATCATCGTTCTTCACGCAATAGGTTGGCCTCTCCCCGCGTTTATTGTAGCTTAATCCGCTGCTTGCATATGTAGTTGGCACTTCAACAAATATAAATTTTTCTTAGAAAATTTTGTTCATATACATGCACGCACACATACATTAAGCAAGTGCAAGTGTGTTGTAGTTTTGATTGAAATATGAGCTATGGAGCATAGAGATACATAGGAAATGCTTACCAAACATAATATTGGAGATTAGGATGGTCATGACGAGTACTTTCATAACCATTGAAAATGAAACCTTTCCCATTGCAAGCTTGGCACCAACAACTAGTTTTAGGGTTCACGCTTGAACTGTTTATGCATTTTTTTATGTACAAGACGGAATTTATATACATGGTTGTCATAGACGGAATTTATATACATGGTAGGCATATTATCATGCATTTATTTGTGTAGAAGACGGAATTTATATACATGGTAGATTTATTATTAGAGATTGCATACATCTCTAACAATATTGGGAGCATTTAGAAAGGATATGGTGCTGATAAAGATTTGTATAAAAGAAAATTTGTGTGCATACTATTAGGGATTACATACATCTTTGATGACATTTAAAGTATTTGAAAAAGAAGATGATGTTAATGAATAACCTCTTAAAAGAAAAATTATAGGGTTGCTATTGGAGATTTTGAACATCTTTGATTACAAATGAGGCTGATATAGAACATTTCGAAAGAAAAATTCTAAGCATACTATTAGAGATTACGTATATGTTTGACGACGTTGAAAGTATTTGAAATAAGAAGATAATGCTAGTAAAGAGCCTCTTAAAAGAAAAATTGTAAATTTAATTTTTACACTTGAATTGTTGCACATCTATTATAATTAAAGATTACATACATCTTTGACTAGTATTTGAAAAGGAAGATAAGAGCCTCTTAAAAGGGGAAAAAATATTGTAAATTTAATTTCTACGCTCGAGCTGTAACACATTCATTACTCTTAGAAATTACATAATAGTTTGACTGCATTGTAAGTATTTCTAAAAGAAAATGATGCTCATAAAGAGCCTCTTAAAAGAAAAAATAGTAAATTTATTGCTTGTTTGATTTTCATTAATGGGAAAGAAAATGAGTTTTGAATAATATTTATAGAAGAATGCATAGATAAAAAATAAGGAAAAATTTTAAAAAAACGTGTAAAATATTTTGTTGTGTGAAGTACTGATTGAATATAATCTTGTAACAAATCATAAAATAAATTAGTGAAAATCAAACTTGTTCTTAATTTATAACTAAATTAATATGTTATAAAGTTATGATTTCTACTTTATGGGTAATGTAAACACTTGGTGAATCTTCATTCCTCTTTTACACACAATTAAGAAAAAGTTTAAATAAAATTTATGTAACAAGCACCCACCAACAAAATGGGATGTTATAAAGTACTTTCCTTGGCAATTAAAGAACTACGAATTATCACTTATTGAATTAATCTAATAAATAGCAAAACGTTTTTTTAGAATTTTGTAAATTTACATATAATGATTAACAATATGAAATATTAGAAACAATATTATTTTCTTGTACCAAAATTGGTCAACTATATTTTGATTATGATCAAACCGTTTGATTGTCAAAATTATGTCTCAATTTTATTTATGCCCTTACCAGCATAGTGGTTTGAATTTGATAACAATGCTTCATACTAATTAATTCCGTAGAGTTTCGATATAACGAATAAAATATAAATGCACGTCTAGAGTCATTGGACTAAATTGTTTTTAATAAAATATGAATTTTTAATCGAAGAAAAAATTTCCGTTAGGGACCCTAGTGACTAAGAGGGAAACTTTAGCGACTTCAATCACCAAATTATTAGATTGAGGACCCACTTGTAATTTCCCCAGTGCAGAATTAGCCCTTGGATTATGCTACATATACATTATTTATGTACAACTAGGGATGGTAAGTGAGCCCATCAGTTCAAGTGACCCGCAGCTCAGCACAAAAAAAGCTTGAACCGACTTTGCTCGAGACTCGGTAAAATATCGAGCCAAGACTCGGGCCAAGCCCAAATTTCGAGACTTGGCTCAACTCGTGACACGACCAAAATGGTTCGTGTCATAGGCTCGACTTTGTTCATGCCAACCTTCAAATTTTTTGTTCTATTAATATTTAATTTGAGATTTAAATCAATAAAGTATAATTTATATATAAATATGCTTACACAATTAGCATTTGTTTGATTTCTATTATTTTTAAAATATATGTTTTTTCTTCTTTTTTACTGCACATTCTTCAATAAAATAATATTAACGCAAATCAATTTTTTTTTTCTATTTTTAATCACATTTTCCCATCAATCCATTATACCAAAATGCATTCTTCAAAAAAATTGGCTCAAACATGCTCTTAATATTCATAATTATGCTACAACTATCTATATTTATAATTTATTATCATATTAATTAGTATTCCCATTATTTATTGAAATAAGGAAGGTGAGGATGATGTCAAGTCATCATGCGCGGGCCCTGATACCATAAAAAATGAAAAAAAAAAAAAATTGACCTCACCCCATGTGAGGGGGCGATAAGACCCCTGTAAGGTGCTAGGCTTGTACGCCTAGCACTATCCAATTTTCAATTCCAATATTTTTGGCCCTTGTTTGAATTAAAAAGTAATACCCCCAAAAGGACAAGAAGTACTAATTTAATAGTTTTAAAAGATAAGGACAAGAAATATATTTTACACGGAGTTTGCACAGGTCCTAGTGTTTTAGGCTTTTAGCTTTACTGGTCTTCAAATTTGAGGATGAGGGGACACTGCCATATCGTTTATGTGAAATATTTGATATGGTTTTGTACAAATTTAATGGTTTTAAAGGATGGATACAATAAAAAAGATATAACTTTTAATTGGATTGTTGTGAATTAAAGCAAACGATTTTGGTTACTTCAAATATAAATTTGGGGTCAAAATATTACATATGAATCACTAAAAGTTCATATGGGCACATCTTTACAATTTTTTCAAATAGATCTGAATCTGACCATATGAAGTCTGACTCCTTGGTTTGGGTCAGTTACATTTTTCCAATATCTGATCTACAAATTTACCCTCATATTAGTATTTACCTATGTGCATAGTTTTTGAATTGCATGTAAATTCTTCGATTCAAAAATAACAATAATCGATATACAGGATGATTGCACGTATTAGAGATCGATATATGGTGTACTTGTCGTTTTACTTGATTAGACTGCAAACAAGCTTTCGCGTCTCAATTCTTATGTCAAGAAATATTAGTGGAAATACCATTAATCAACTACAACTATAGGAAATAGTGGCTCTTCTAAGGAACAAAAACTAATTAAAAATTGATAAATGAGAATAAAACAGAATTTTGTATTGATATGCAATAATGAAAATGTCATAGATGCTGGTATCAGGGTAATTCAATAATTATTGTTTTAGTCAACTGTTTTCCTTGCATTTTTATGTTGTAGCTCTTTCCGCGTGACAGGTGGATTGGCTAACAGTAAAAATGCGCGAGAATAACTTTACTGTCTCGTCCATGCATGAAGACATGCCACAGAAAGAGCGGGATGCAATTATAGCAGAATTTCGGTCTGGTCCAACTCAGTGCCGGTCCTGTAATTTTTGGGGTTTGAAGCAAACTTTCTAAATTACGTTCCAAAAATTATAGTATGCATGCAAATTTTATCACCGTCTTATGAAATCAATTATTAAACAAAAAGCAAAATGTATTATACAAAATATTTTTATTATAATCAAATAACAAATTTGACGATGTCTCAAATGATCGGTTATATACTAAATAGTGAACGTCATACCATTTCGTGTCAAAAGGATTTCAATATTACTTTTGAATTCTGAATTTAAGCTTCAAAACAAAAAGAAACTAGAGAAATAACATTTAATTCTCGATCAAATAAGTGGTATCTAACAATCAAAGAAAAAATTATGATTCACTTGAAGCATTAGATAAATTTAATTCTCCATACAAACATGACATAAGAGGTGGTAGGCATCCGAAAGTTCTTAAGAATTTCTACTTCAGTAATACAGAAACCCCACAAATATAGCAAAGCATCTATCATTCTACATAGCTACATAATGTTTATTTTCAAAAGTTGCATTATAATCATATATCAATCATAATCATAACTTAACATAATATATTAATTATGAAAAAAGACAAAAATAACATACATATTTAACTCTTTCGTCTTATAATATCCGATGGAAAGTAAAACAACACGATTATTAGCACAATTCTTTTTAAAGAGAACCCAAGAATTCAAGAAAAAGACTTGTTGATTTGTTAATTTTTCAACCCAAACAATATTAAGAAAGGTTTCTATCTTTTTTATGAATGATAGGTATAAAAGTAAACTAGAATTATTTTAAAGCACATATAAGAAAATAAAATAGAATTACAAACCTAAGAGGAGGATAAACTTGATGTAGCAAGCTTGTTTCTGGAGAATATCACCCACGAATCGAAAAAGAATTAACATGATTTTCTATTGGATCTAACTTAAAATTAACTACAAATTAATTGTAGATTCTCTGTCGCACGCATGCACATAAGCCAAACGGAAAGTAAGAAATTGGCCTTAAATTCAGTTTTTTTTATTCTTTAGAAAAAAAAGAAGAAGAAGAAAATCTTAGGCCCCCTTCTTAATTGGGCTTGAGGCAGAGGCCTCATTTGCCTCTGTCCAGGACCGGCCATGGTCAGACTCAGGTTCTTATCACCACAGATGTTTGGGCTTGGGGGTTGGATGTTCAACAGGTAATCTTTGCTTCCATACTTCTGGCCGCCCATATTTCTTATAAAAAAAAAAAATGCTGAACCCCAATCTTGAGGATCCCTATCTCCCCGCCCATGGAGCATCGTGAAGGAGGTAAATCGCGAGATGTACCCCAGTAGGCTAGGGAATAAGAGCTTGCCCGTACACTGGTGTCCACAAAGAGTCCAATTTCATATCTCAAGAATCAAACTCTCACACTGCGACTGCCAGCAAAGTTGAGACTACATCACTCCTATCCTTTGCACCACTGAATTATGTCCCGGGGGGTTGGTCGCCCATATTTCTTTCATTTCAGGAGGGATGCTCCTTTTCCTACAGAATATACACATATATAGTCTTTACCGTGCATTGAGTTATTTTGAAGGTAATTTTAGTGTTAAGTGTTTTGGATTCTCGTGAATTATACAGCTAACACTATCTTTCGATCTTTTAGAATTATTATGGCTCTAAACCTACAACTAAAGCTATTTTCATCTTGAAGAACTTGTAATCTACCAAACCACCTATAGTCATTACAACATTTACACTAGCAATTCATGTTGATTAATTAATCCTACTCTTTTTGACTTTTTGTTCGATCTATGTCCAACCCTTTTTAGACAAAAATCTATTGTACTTGTTCGACCTTTATCTCAATTCAAAATTAAGTTACTTCTCAATAGTACATTTTTAGGTGTACCTCAAACAATCTTAAACTATTTTTCTCATATTGACACATTTTCTCTCAGTTCAATAATGTGGTAATGTCTAATTTAATAACTTTTTTAAAAGCATATCCACATTCAGATAATTATCATTGTTCTTAGGAGCAAAAATTCAATTAATGTAATTAATGCTCACTAAAAATACACTATATTGACTTGGAACATTTTGATTAACTATTTCGTTGTTCAAATAGTATCTTCTACCAACACCACTGCCACACGATTTATGCAACGTCATTTTATATCGCAAGTGTATGGTGTCAAGTTTTATAATATAATATTAAAGTAAGAGTGTCAAACCCACAGAGATTGATATTTAAATCATATTATTTCAGCTTTTACTTTATTTAGAAAATCAAACTTTAACACGATGTTTTTATGCTAAATTAAAGTAAATGAGATGAACGATGCAAGTAAACGGGGACAAATTGTAAAGTCTCTATTCAAATTATAAAAGCCTAAGGAATGATTTCACCGTATTATCGACAATATTTTTCAACCTTTATAACTATTTCTATCAATCTTTCCAAAATTTATAGGCAATAATACAAAATTGATTTCTTTCCTCTCTCGAGCGCCAAATAGAATCTATTTCTATATTTTAATTCCAATATCTTTATTCCAAACTAAAACATAAAAATTATTAAGCACATGGTTCTTAATTTAAACAAGTGTCAAAGATTTCGCACTTTTTCTCGAAACCTACAAAATCTAGATTATGTTCTCTTAGATCACGCTTCAATTTGCCTTTCTCGAGCGCCGAAATTTATCATTCAATTAGTGGCCAGTTAATTAAAAGCATTACGCACAAACAACATAAATAAATAAACAGAAAGATCAAATGAAATAATTATATTGGAATTAAAACACGTCTAAGTAGGCTACATCAAATTCCTAGGATTAAAGTCTAGTTCATAATTGAGAGAATCGACATGAATAAATTATAAAGAAAGAACATAGAGAAGAAAAAGGATTAGAAAAACTCGTTTTGTTGCCGCTCGATTTCTTCTCCCAAAGTTTGCCAATTTCCCTAAATTAATTTACTTTTTTATTTATTCTCCAGCCGTGTCCAATTGTGTCCAGTATCCTTCTTCAAATTGTTGTCCTTGCTGGCTAAATCTCTTCTCAATCTCCTGGTGGCCGAAGCTTTCTTCCAATTCCAGATTTCTATGTTTTCGCCGGCTGGTTCCCCCTTGAAGAAATGATATTTATATGTTCTTCAAATCTTGGAAAGATAGGGTTGGATTGGGTCGTGAGGAGAGTCCAAAGATTGTAAAATTCTTCCCTCGCAAGGTAGCGCCTCGGCGTCCAATTTGGGTGCTGTGTCGCCATGGTTTCTGCATAATTTCAACAACCTGGGCGCTGCAGCCCCCAATATGTGCGCCGTGGCGCCCGGTTCGACTGAAATGACATTCTACGCGTCTTTCAGTATTTTTAGCACAACTTTCTCGTCCAATGTCTGATTGAGATGATTCAAGATACGTTAAAAAGCTAATTCAAAGGGCTACAACTTTGATTCAGCATCATTCTCCAATTCGATTGTTTGCTATGTTAAAAGAGGGGTTTCAATGTGTGGCTAAAACTCCGAAGCATAACTTGTCCTTTGGAAATTGATTGTGAACATCCAATTGACTCCCAATACTCTTGGATCTTCATCGCGAGGTTAACACAACTTCTGATTAATTGGATTTTAGTCCTCGAACACTCTTACAATTTGCTCCTCTCATCCAACTTCACCAACTTTTGTCTATTTCTTTCAATTTAATCAACCTATATCACAATAGCAAAATACACATTAAAACGCTTTAAAACATTCTCAAGAGTAACAAAATAATGAATTAAGTGGCATAAATATAATGAGTGTAGAGCACTCATCAACCCCCAAAAGTACATCCATTCTTCATTTTTTAGTAGTATTTTCCACTTCTTCACTAATTTAAAATGAAAAACCAATATCAAAATTCAAAATTGAGAGACCCCACTTCAAATTTACACCAACTAAAAATGGGTATTCAACAAAATTATTAAATACCAAATCTCATCATAAATCCACATAAAATTTAATATCCCAACAAAGTAATTTCTTTCATAAAAAGGAACAAAAACTTGCTCTACCTTCTTAAAGAAGGCGCTCTTTGATGCCGTTTGTCCTCAAAGGGAGTGCCTTCAAATCGAGGCTTGGCTCCTCTTGCTGCTACCTCTTTTGTGACATTTTCAAAGCCCAACGCAAAAACACTAATTCCACTATGCTTCGATGTATTGTACTATGTAGAGATAGAATAGTATCAAGAAATTCATGGACATGGAATTGTGATCACGCTGTTGTTTGTTGAGCAAAAATAAAGACCAACATGATGTGTCCAATGAAAACCTCTTAAGGTCAACATTTGAACAGTAAGAAAAATGAGGAGTCGAGTATTGAAAGCATCTAATGAAGGATATATCACAAAGACGGGAAAAGTTATAAAAAACATCAATCAAAACATCGTCAGTATAGAAATTTACAACAAACCTGAATCTCAATGAGCAGAGAATCCAACTCCAATCACATATAATCAGCAGCCAATATCTTTTCTTTTGAGGCCATTTTACTCCTCATCCCTCATCATCATTAAATTGTTCTTCAACTTACAAAGATTTTATCAACTGTTAGATTTACTGCTAGTTCTATCTGAGTACTCAAACAAAACTGCACATCATCCTAGAAAACATTTACATGGCCCGCACACCTTATTTCCAAATGAGATGCATGGCTGGTCAAAAGCTTAATCCCATGCGAAGAAAAACAACACATACCACATGCATCATAACCTTAGAGCGTCAAACATATTATCCGCTTGGCAACGAAGTAGTACCATTACTTAAAATATCATTTGCCACATAGTTATGTTATCTTTCAAAAACCATACCCACATGCCCTCAAGACCCAAATTCTTGCACCAGGCAACATTTTGGCAGAAAAAAACAATAGCAAAACTCATTTACCATTCAAGAGTCATAAGTGACATTGCTTTGATGCTCAACACAAGGAATAATGACAAGGGTTGCAAGCACCAATCCTTGAAAATGAGGAAAAATATTAGTTAACATATAAAGTATGTCAAAGGTGAACATCGTAAGTTCACATTAATTTCGATAAAAAGATTTATTAACTCGTAAAATTTTAATTAAATGCCATGATTTACAGGGTATCAAATAGGACGAAGAAATTCATAAAATAATTCCATATCAAAAAGACGTAAACTTGTCCATTTTTGGCCTATTTACTCATAAATATCATTACTTTTTTTAAATGCATTTTAAACTAATTATGTAATAGGCCACTTCACATATTTGCCTCGTGACAAAGATTCCTAGATCCTAGAAAATTGTCATCCTATATTTCAGAATTATATGCAACAAAGATAGTTTAGAGACAATTGAAGAACACATTTTTGCATATGCTAGACACTTCACTTGCAAAACAACAACAACCAGATACATTCTTTCCCTAAATAGCACACGCCAGCATACTAATAGATAAGGTTTCCATGAAATTATAACATTACTTCAGCCATTTTAATCCAAAAGAATTGATACAATCCCAACAAACATTGGTGAATTGTACTTTTGTCATCTACATTACTTCGCCGTCATGATTTCTAGAAGTCAAAAACTCTACCTGCAGAAACCTTATACCCGTGCAACCTCAGAAGCCTGAATCCCATTGCTGTATCATCAATTTCTTGAACTTTCGAATTTCTTGTCCATTATATTTTTTCGCAAGACTTGCTCTCTTGGTTGAAAGCTTGACAAATAATTAGTGCAACTATGAGCTAAAAATTGTTCTCATGACCAAATTCTGCTAGGGAAATTTATTAAAAGGGATGATATGGTAGTAGTCTAGAACTATATATAAAATGGAATACAAAAGAATCAAAAGCAATTATTATAAAATTTTAGCATGATGAGAGAACCAGAAGCTTACAATTTAATAAGACATTCATTAAGAGATCTGCATTCCTGAATTATTTCATTCTTGTCCAGAAATTCCTCTAGTGTAAAATTTTTGGTCTCCACCTGAAATAGAAAATATTCTTTTACTTAATAAATCACTCAGGAAATACCCTACATGATATTTTCAGAATAATTCAAGCACGTTAAGGACAGGACCCCACAAATACAAACAAGGTAGTTGGTCGAAATAGTACACAATTTCAAAATAAATCACTTGAAAATATCAAGAAGAATGAGCATACATATGCATGAAAATTACCAATGAACCACAAGCTGCAGCGGGCCAAAAGATTGAGACGTTACAAACTCTTTCAAAACAAGTATACATTGATAAAATACTGAGGAATAAAAACTTAAAATTTGCTCAATATTGTGTTTCTTGAAAAGAATAAAATCTTTTGTTATATTCATTTTACAACATATGCATTGTTTTATTAAAGCTTGACCAAATGTTAAACACAACGGAATGGAACATTTTAAAGTAGTTCTAAACACAATAAATATATTTCTTTCAGGCTGGCACATCTATGGCACAATGCATACACAAATGATACATTTTGGCTTCAAGCAATCTACAAGCACTTCCCACAAAAATAGTGGTGAATAAAAGATATAAAATTCATTTAGAAACCAATACCAGGACACGATGGGATCGACAACGCAAATGGAACAATTACAAACAAGTTGGCTTGGGATTCAAAAGAACAAGCATGTATCATATTCCCCTTAATAAACTATCAAGAGAAATAAGTATGGGATTCTATGCAGCAGAAGGGATAAAAAAGAGCAGAAAGCAATGTATACTTTGACAATATAACAACATTGCTACTTAACCTCGCCACAAAAGACTTTTATTACAGTTAATTCCCACTTATAAGTTTAAAAGACAAGCATATGAAACCTCCAAATATCTCCCAACAAAAGATTTCTTTCATCATGCACCATGTTGTGAACTTCAACCAACTAAAGGATTTTTTATTCTTCTCTTCAATAAAATTTCAAATAAGATAATCTTTGTACTGATTGAATTTAATACCACAACTTTTTTGGTTGCACGGATTGGTTTCTAACTCTACGAAATAGTAAAATCACTGAAAATATAACATGGAAGGGCATATAATAATACAAGAAGCAGAGTTGCCGTAACAATCATCCTCCCAAGAACCTGAGTGCATGTATCTACTTTTAAAAAACTGTTACATTGCTTCCCCTTTCAATATATAAGTCAAATACTATTACAAATCCTCCAATTATAGTGGTATCATGGTAGAACGTACAAAACCAATATAACAATTACACCAAAGGATAATGTTCAACATCTCCCGGTGAGCCTTATACACACCTCATTCTACTCTCCAAATTTCATGGTACTCTAGAAAATTCACATCACTGGGTTCAACTATATCCTATGTCCAATCAGAATACCAAATATTGGATCCATACCACCAGTAAAATAAAATAAAAAATTTATATTTAAGAAAATTAAAATCACTTACTGGCGATGCTGTGGAGAGGCCCATGTGAGAATCGTGAGTCATGCAATTCTTTCAAACTCGGCCACATCATCTGTCAACTCTTAAGAATATCAATTTTGTGTGAATAAGCTTTTTAGGAGCAATAGCGCTTGAACAAGAAAAATGCCCTAGTAAGTAGAAAGTACAAAATAAAGGACATGAACAAGATAATTTTGACAAAATTAAACTTTTTCTGTGGGTAATTGTCTATGTAGTGAGCTTGCAATCAAACAACGATGAAGAAAGAAGAATAGCTTCCGTCCACAACACTTCGTCGACAACAATACAAAAGAAGAAGAAAAGGGTCTTCTGAGGATTCCAATTTCTTAGATGTAAACGAGATCTATGGAGATTTTTTCAGGATTTTCTTTTGATTTTGAAGTTCTCGTATAATTCGAGAGAGGAAGAATGAATTTGGGGCTGAGATAAACAAGATTTGTGGGGAATTTTTTATGGTTGTCGGTAGATTTTGAGGTTCTTCTGTAGTTTGAAAAGCGAGGAACGAATGTGAGGCAAAGAGAAGAGGTGAAGAAGGTATAAGAAATAGACCGTTGTTGAAGGGTAAAATGGGAAAACAAAAAATGCTTCCCAAATGAACAATAAATAGCAGATTTCTTCTTTTAAGATACTAGTTTTTTTACTTTGCAATGCACGAGTTATGTTATTTTTAATGTAATATTAGTGTTTTGAATGTTAAGGTTGGACGAGAGATTGTATTACAAAATTTTTGTATACACATTTGTATAAATCAAATAATGTTTCATAAAGATATAAGGGTCAATCCAAAATTTGAACAAAGAGAGAGAAATAAATACAGTATGGAAAATGCCTCAAGAGGAAAGTTCATATTTACAAGAGGAAAACAATGCATTTTATGTGGAATACAACAATTTATTTGAAAATGAGAATTTCGTCGGGTTTCTTGGTTTCTAAATTAATAGAGAAATAAAGCTAACACTCCCTACGGTTGAAATAAAAACACAAAAGCAAGTTGCAATAGTACGAGAGCAAAAAACAACCAAACAAGAGATTGGTAGCACTTTACCGTAAAATAGATGTGATAACAAACTTATCAAGGGTGCAATGTGACATATCTATATCAAGTATTATAGTTGGAACCTCGGATACTATTAGGATAGATGGAGTTTGTTCAATAGCTAAGACAAAATTTAAGCTACTTAGCTGCGAAAGCACAAAAATGCAACGGACGGAAGATATAAATACACATATTGAAAATTATCAAGACAAAATCTCATAATATTTAACACAACTTAAAATTTCATTCAGCAGAAGATTAGTCGAATACTGATCATTGATAGGTTGTAGTCAAATAAATAAAAATTATTAAGGGGGGAGAGAGAGAGAGAGAGAGAGAGAGAGAGAGAGAGAGAGGACTCACCCATTGGCATATTGTGCCTCATCTCTTCCGCGATAAGGAGACCTATTTCAACGCGACAAACTTCCACATCGAGAAAGTTTTTGAGGATTCATACTCCTTATTCAATCAACATCGTCATTCAAACATTGTGTTAAACATAACAATAAAAGGTTGTTCTTTATAGCATTCATCATAGCTTCTGAACTTAAATAGTACTTTCTTTCTCTTCTTCTTTTTTGATGATTTTCCTGGAAATATTAATCATTTTTTTGTCCTCCTGTCCCGGGGAAGAAAACATATATAAAGCTATATGACTATGAAAATGTCATTTCCATTAAGGGAAGCTAAACCTCTCATTTGGTTCATTTTCCACTTCTTTCTCATGCTTAAGATCTTGAAACCATATTGAAGTAGCTACGTAAAGCTATAGACCAATTAGAATTTTAAATGAAATTGGTGTTAGAAAGGCATCCTAGCATATACAATAAAAATTAGAAGGGGGGGGGGGGGGGGGGGGGCAGAGAACCACTTATGGGGGGGGGGGGGGGGGGAACCACTTATAGAAGCATTGAAATTATATCTTCATCAAAATCAATCTCAAAGACATCAGAAACCTCTCTTCTTCTTCATATTGTACATCATTCTTTTCCTGAGAAAAACTCAACGCAGTGAACACCCAAAAAATTGAAGAATAAATTTAAATGCATTTACATAATAAATATTTTTGGTTATGCATGGTAAACTCTCATTTCCCTAGGTTGTATTGCACATATGGGATGATTTTCAGAAATGTCAAGTGCAAAAAACAATTCACTTCCTTATGTGCCTCATAAATTGTGTCATTTGCATATCTCCATGAGCAAGTAAAAGATCCGATGCTCATATGCATGTATATATCCCTTCTTGTGTGAAGTAATTCCATTGGAGTGCACTTGAATTGACTCTAAACTATTTACATCTTCATAGCTAAAGGAGTTGCTTTTGAATGACTTAACTTCGAAGGCGTTTGGAGTCATTGTGAAATGTTACCCATTGGCTCATAGAGAACACTGGCTTGTCTTGGAGAAGCAATCAAAGTACATCTCGTGCAAAGAAGTTCCGTCACAACGCATATTTTAAATTTATTACAACATGAACTTTCAGCATAAATAGTTTGCCAACTATTACCATATTCTCAAACCCACCTGGATTTTAGAAATCGTTGCTTGTTTATTTTGAAAAATCACATCACAATGTATCGAGTAAATGGAAAATTACGCATCAATAGGAACAATGAAATGAGACATAAATGAGGTAAGAATACAAGCAACTATATAGAAAACATGAGCTTTGTCAAATCATTATATGTAATTACATCAGGAAATAGAATTTAATTTTCCATTCTATTTATCAAATCATAAGCTTTGTCCATGTTCTCCTCTTTTACAAATCTATGTGTAAGAGTGTTATAGGTAATAGAACATACAATAACAATTATTAATTAAACAAGTTCAACTAAACTCCCAATTACTTAATCATTGAAACAGATCATTAATAAATAGGTAAACTACCCTAGTTTGTATATTGGAACCCAAAGACATCCACAACATGTTGTTTCTTCCAAAGCATTTCAGTAGTTCAACAATTTAAGGAGAATCCTATATTTACAAATCATTATTTGCAATACAGAGAAGTAAACTAAGGAACAATAGAGGACCAACACACGATAATACAAACAAACTCAAGTTTGTGATTCTTGGTTACAAGAATGATTCACTATCGTAAATTATCACCCGACACAACTTTAACACATTAACCATATCCAACCGAATTCTCATAAGAGTTCACCTAACAATGCAACACTCTCCCAACAACAAATATTGGTGAAAACTTGAACTCAAATCTGATTTGAATTGCGTCAAATCGCGATGTGATAGTTCTCGAAACAACACCAAAAGTTGCAGCAGCGGTCGCATCAATGAGAGCCCTTTTCAGCTACCCTGGCTTTTCCCTTCCTCCTTCAATGCAATACAACAACCTACAAACAATCTCGTTCTGAAATCCTCTCAGTTCTAAAATATTCCATAATTTTCCCATTTGTCAACGAACAAAACCTAGAGAGAAAACTATCAACATGCCTAAAAATCATAAAAAAAACATACAATCAACTGGAAATTGTACGGATCTGCGATTCTTAGACGACAGAACTTCAACCAAAAAGAGAAAATACCATTAAGAGAAGTGTTGATATGATCCCAACAAAACAAAACACAACACAACGTTACCTGAAAGAGATTGTAATGCCACTTCATGTTGCCATTCTCTACTCTCCAATTTGCAGATTTTATGGTTCTTTGGAAATGTTTTAGAAAACTTGGTACTAAAACAAACTAACAAAGTTTGAAAGAAAAAGGAATATAGGGTAAGGAAATTGAACAAAACTACATAGAAATGGGAAAACAAAGTTTTGAAGATTCTAATTATGGGTTCAAATCTCAATTCTTTGGGTTTGTTTTGGATTTTCTTTGGAAGATCAAGAGAGAACAAATAGCATTAGGTTTAGGAATTTTGACTCTGGCGACTATTTTGTAATACAGAGAGAGTAAGAAGTAGAAATTAGGATTGAAGATTGAAGTTGGTGGGAAGATCATTAGTTACAAGGATCTGCGCCAGCTAGCATGGTAAATAGGTGGAGAAAAGTCATTCGCCTTCTACTATAGCCACGAGAGGGTTAGGAGACTTTGGGTTGGAAAGATATTTTGTATTATATGAAGAGACCATTGGGCCTTGAGTTTTAGAATTAATAAAATGGGATTGAAGGATAAAATTGGAAAAACTAAAAAGCTTCCTGAATGATGACTCGACTTGATTTGCATGGAGATGGATTTTGGAGGGAGGAGTTGGAAATTGAATTTAAAAGTTAACCTCCCCACCTCCAATAACTCCCATCAACTTCCATTCTGAAAGCAAAACAAAAAAATTCGGGCTAAGGGGAGTAGAAGGCATACAGATGAGGAAAAAGATTTGATTTTGGAAATATTGCATCTCAAATTGATTCTTGGATAGTAGCTATCAAATTCCTTCCATTGTGATCGAGTTTCTGACCAGAAAATGAGTATTTGGTGAGCAAACAAGTGGTAAGAAGGCAAGTAATTCAACCTCCATTTTTCTTGGGATTTCAGGTAAGTTTTAATGTTCCAAACTCGGTTATAAGTATGCAAGCACGTTTTACATTAGTATTAGAACCTAAGTAGGTTATTTTCTTGCTTAAACACATGCTGTAAATGTTTTAGAATGATTGAAATGTATGAATTCCATTTTATTTTAAAGCTTGAATGTCATATCTAAAATTTTTTACTACATTTGGATTTGTATTTTGGGAGAAAAATCGAACCCTAGTTGAGAAAATTGAAACTTCATCGCATGATAATTTCTTGTACGTTAAGTTTCATGCTACCCATTTTATATGGTTGGATAGATCTTATCGAGACCTTTCCAATGATATAAAGAACATAAATTTTGGCTTTAAATTGAAGAAGTTATGACCTTCTGAAATTTCGACAGAAATCTTAAAAAACTGTTATTTTTGGGGACGATGAACTAAAAAAAAAAAAAAAAACCTTTGAAATTGAAACTGTAGCAGTGAGGGTGGGAATTCCAAATTCCATTTTTAAAAATTGCATGTTGGTCCCTCAAATATTACAAAATGCAATTTGAAAAAAAAATTGCATGTTAGTCCCAACACTTTTTAATGTTGTTTACTCCATTACCAATTTGAAAAGTTTTGTGTTGGTCCCTAAATGATATTTTTTTTTGGACTTGATTATTCCAAATTCAATTTAAAATATTACAAATTAGTCCTTCAAATACTCTTGATTTTTAATGCAATTAAAATAATTTCAGATAATCAAAAATATTTATATATATAATATTTTGGAACTTGATTAAATCCTGAAATTAAAAAAAAAAATCAAGAATATTTTTGTTAAGTGTTGTTAAGTGGTATTTGCCTAATGGAAGTTTTTTTTTTTTTTTTTTTTGTGCTCTCATTTTTTTAAATAAAAAATACTTTGAAAGTATTTGATATACCACATTTTCTATACATTCATGAGTGTTGGATCTTGATTAAGTTATGCGATTCATTATGACTAGTTTTTTAATTATTTTGCTTGATCAGATGTGGTTGGATCAACATGC